TCTTCTGAACTTGCTTTCCTTGTTTCGTGTTTCAAGGCTGATCCAATATTTTATTTACAGAAAGCCAGATTCCATCAAAGGTTTCACTTAAATATGACAATGTGTATTTTAATTCAAATATGTTATTTGGATCCACTTGCCAAATATGCTAAGTAATTTTACAAAACAGTGTATCAGTACAACATTGTAAATTGTACATAGTTTCATTCTATTTATTAAAAATTATAAATTGCTTTTATGCCCACTGAAATTTTCAAAGCAGTATATAATTTAAAGTAATGCAATAAAACCACAACAAACTTAAAACAGAAGCATTGCTTTCTTTTAAAAGGCCTAAACAATATTCTACAGAAGCTTTACATATTAAAATTTACATTTACAAGCATAAATCCACAAGAACATGTATGAAGATGAGTATTACAAAGATTTTGTAACTCTCTATCACTATGAATGTATTTATTTATAAAATGTGTAATTTATGCAATATGCTGCCGTGAGGCTTTCATCTGAACTGTATAGTAAGACTGGTGGAGGTTTGCTACTCTTGCTAACCAGCTTGCTAGCCAGTGCCCTCAATCCACTAGGAATTACCGCAGTCAAGTTCAGATAACATGACAATGTAGTGGCTGGGTTCATAAAGCACAATGACCCACACAAGAATTGATCAAGTGTGGTTCCTTGGTGAGCTGTGGGGTGTTGCTGAAAGGTAAGTTATCATGATGCCCATTTGTGTCAACAAAGTGGGATTTGTTAACAATGAACAACTTACAAAACAAAACCCCAAAATAAACCCTAGCTTCCACAAATAATACTGGTTGTCTGTGGTTAAAAAACTATTGTTTGTTGGTGTGGCTGAGTTCAAACAACACAATGACCCACATTTCAGCAACCACGAACCCACATTCAAACCTCAAGGGTGGGTTATTGTGTGGTCTGCACTCAATCACTGTGAAACCCCTAGAAAAAGCCATGGATTTTAAGGGGCTTGTTCCTGAAGAGTATGCCACCATGGGGAAAACATTCTGTGCTTGCAGGCCACAATAATCCACCATGGCTAGTTACCCATGATGGATTACTGTGTCCAGCAAACCCAATCCAAGGCTCCAATGGATTTAGCTGGGCTTCCATTTGGACATGCCTTCAAGGACACCAATAATCTGTATAGAATAGGCACCGCTGATTTGAAAACATCAGAAAACACATTATTCCTCTTAACAGAATGACATTAGAAATAGGCATTTTGGGTCCCTTATTTTGGCATTTTGACTGTATAGTATTACTGTTTATGCATGACTGGAGGCAAGGGAGGGAGAACAGAACACTTTCAGCAAAAAGGTTGCAAGGCAAATATCAACGCTTACTGCAAATTCTACAATTTGAAATTTACCTCACATTAAGAATCCACATGGGCATACGGTTAAGGAGAAGCTGCAGTTTTCTCCCCTATAGAATACGCTCAACTTCTTTCTTTTCTTTGCAATACTTCTGAGAGCAAATCAAATGCTTACTCGATTGACTGGCTTTCCAGTTATTTACATTTCTAAAGCTCTGCTTGCAGAAAAGTGACAGTTTTTAAACTATACATATTTAACAGGCTTGAAACACTATTCTAGAAAGGGAGAGATGTGTGTTCGTAACACCATAACCTATTTGTGTCCCAAGGGATCTGTTGATCAAAATCTCTACTTCCAACCCACTAATGGTGACACAAAGCAGAAATGCCAGTAAGAGTCGCAGAAATGCCGGACAGAATTGTTGGAAGTACATCAGGCCTCTTTCTTCTCTTAGTAACCTCAAGGCAACCATGATAGTTTGCTCCCATGAGTTTAATGGCAGTGCAAAGCAGCAATACCAACTAGTACTACTGGGAGGGGAGAAGTTTTTAGCCTGCCTGCCTGCCCCCACCCCCCAGCAACTCCAAACCTTGCATAGGTTCACTAGGACAGAAGCAAGGTTAAATCTTCCTCCCTACCACCATCTGTGAGAGTTCAGTTCCAGGGAGAACAATGCCCATATGTACAAAGTACAACAATTTAAACATTCTGTGTATTTGGATGAACCAAGGGATTTATTTATGCACACATATAGTCTGCCCTCACCCAGCCTTTCACAGCGCAATGCTATATGTACTAATCAGACATTTGTCTCATTAAGTAAGGGATAGAAAATGTCTGGCCTTCCAGATGGTGTTGGGTTGCAATTCCTATCAGCCTTCATGTTCTGTCTCATGCTGACAGGAGTTGTAGTCCAACAACATCTTGAGAGCCACCCATTGCATGCTCTTGCATTATACTGAGTCAGATGAATGGCTATGGAACTGCACCCTTGTTCACTACTTGCACACAGTGGCTTCTTTACACTTACACTTCTTTACACCCGATATTATCATAACTTCCTTCTGAAAACATGCACATCCCCTGAACAGCACAATCACCAAACACCCTTATTGTAAAAGAATGTTTGGCGTTCTTTATTGCAAAACATTTTATAACACAATGTTGTGACTGAAATTTCATGTTTCTGTTAAATGGTATGGACATGCTTTTTTTCTTCCATTTACACACTTCCCTCAAGGATCCCAGGATTATTTATTTATTTATTTGGATATTTTTATCCCACCCAATACCCAGTGGGTCTCTGGATGGCTTACAATTCAAATCCAATAAATACAGATATACTCAAATCATACAAATAATCCACAAACTGAGCATAAAAACATAGTTAAAATTAAACATTGAAAGTACAGAAGAATAAAAAGGTCTTGACCTGGTGCCGAAAAGTATATAACGTATATAAACGTATATAAGCATGGGAGGTCTCCCATTTCACAATACCTGAAGTAGGTTTGGTTGAATGCCTGCAACTGGCAGTGAGCCTCACAGTTAGCAGAGATCCAAACCTCAGTAGCCCAAATCTAGCACCCCAGCACCTATACTAGGACGTGCTTCAAATAAGAGCTCCAAAGCACCTCTTAGTTTTGGAAGCTTGTTCTGATGTACCACATACACCCAGTACATATACTGGGGTACATATACTCCAAGGATGGACTCAGTTTTTCCGGTTGTGAGCACAGCTGGCAATTTGAGAAACTCCCCTGGGTACCACTACAAAATTGTTGCGGCTAGAAGCATGGCAAAGGAAATCAAACCTGCTCAAAAGACTAAGTACAAAACAGAGTGGGAGGTGAGCTCCAACACACTAAACAATTCTTTTGAATCCAGTTTTCAGCACCAACTAAAACCTGTTCTACAGCAATCCCAGCTGCTGGTAAGAAAATGTGTTAACTTTTTAAAAGTAGAATAGAGCTCCTTTGTGTTCAAAGCTCACTGCTATCCTGGTATACTGAAACAGATTCTCAGTGTCTACATGTCAGTATACCAGCTCATTTATGTACACACGTTCCTTGTGTTCACAACCTAGATGTGCTCTGTACACCTACATATTCCTCCCCCCTCACAAACTCTCTTCTGTTGCTTCATATGATCAATTTCTTCCTCAATGTCTTCCATATGCCATTTCATTTTAGTGAAACACCCAACTTCCTTCCTTACTACTGCTCTCTTCCCACAAGTATTTCCCCTCTAGATGATCCACCCACCTTTCCCTGTTTTTCTGTACACTCATAAGGCCAGCACTCCCTGAAAACACTCAATACATGCACACATCCTCTTTGATCAACATTCACCACAGGGGCTCTTAATACTCTGTATTTAGAAGTTTTTGAAGTAGTCACTCAGCGATATAAATTCTGAATTATGACAGGCCAAACTTAAAAAATGCACGTATCAGACATTTGAAAGCTGTGATTGGCTAAAACTTTCTGTTGAGTATATGTTCTGTGGCAAAACAAGTTTGTTGCCATTTGTATGTGCAAATGTCCTCAAAACCTACTAACATCCCTCCAAGTACACGTACAGCCATCTTTAACTTACAACCAGTTATCCTCTGAACATACACACACACTTTCACCAACAAGTTTTATTTAAAACCTTTACATCCTGCCACTCCATCAGCCTGTGCTTTTAAAACCACAAAAGCTTTAGATTATAACCAGACAGGCATGATTTAATTATTTATTTTGACTAGGTTTTAGATTATCTTTAAGAACTCATTTAAGGCCTTAATTTTAATATTGCTCTATTTTTTGTAGGCTATCTAGCAATTTTGAATACAAGCAATAAAATGAGTGTGTGTGTCTTTATGGTTCACATATCTGATTTTGCAGATCACACAAATAAGGTGTTTCCTATATCCATATATATGTGAAATAATTCACACTGCAGTGTTACAGAACAATCATAATTACAACTTACCCTACATACAACCCACACAAGTGGCTTATGTGTACAACACACACACACCTGTTGCTTGGAATGCACTCCCGTACTCACAACCAGAGTCGTACACTGTACACTCCACACATTGGGCACATCTCCAGCCTTTCACACCGCTGGACGCGACACGCTCGCGGCCCAAGAGCTGCTTTCCAAGCACAAACGCGCGCACAGGCCGCACGACCAGAACAACACGCGCACTTAATTCGCGGCAAAACCTCCTGTTGATTCCCACGTCACTTACCGGGTCCGAGCCTTCAGGGCTGGCCCCAACCACCCCCGGCCGCGCGTCCTCGTACGCAGCGCTCCGCTTTCCACCCAGACACAACAGTTCCCCGCCACTGCCAAGACAGCCCCACATGTTAGGCGGGCGGAAGGCCCCTGCCTGCTCCTCCGTAGTCGCGCCGAGGCCTACGGCGTGCCTCGGCTCGGCTCTCCCCACCCCTCCGGCGCTTCTCCGGGCGGCACGGAGAGGCCGCGCTCGGCGAGCTGCAGGCCGCGGCCCGGAAAGGCGGACGCGCTCAGCCCCGCCGCAGCCATCTCCGCAGGGCGTCGCGGAGAGCGCGCCGCCGCCGCCCGCCCGCTAGTCAGTCAGTCATGCCCCGGGCGGCGGGGCTCTTCGCCCGGACGCTGGGCGGCCGCCCTGCCGCGGCCGCGCGGGCTCACCTGCATCCAGCACGCGAGGCGTCTGTCGAGGGGGCTGAGGCGGCTGCTCAGGCGGCGGGGCTGAGGGCAGTAAAGACATGCAGGAGGCAGCGGCCGGGCCAGGCCGGGCCGGGCGCTGTGCGGGCTCGGAGAAGTCACAGGCCTGACACGGCGAGCCCCGGAGAGACAGGCAGGCAGGCAGGCACACGCACACGCTCACGCGCGCGCCGATCAAGTGTGGACGCGTGTGTGTGTGTACGTGTGTGCGCGGCGGGGGCGACGGAGGCGGCGGGAGGGCGAGGGCCGGCGGCGCGGCCAGGTCCGGGGAGCGGGTGTGCGCGTGAGGGACCCGGGCAGCCACCCTGCCGGACCGCGTCTCTCGCCCGCACTTTCTCTGCTTCTCCTCCGCCAGCAGCACAGAGGATTAATAATGGAGGAGGGGCCTGGCCTGCCTCGGTGACACGGCACGAAGGGAGGGCCCGAGCCGCCGCCAGCGCCGCCACCTCGGCGGCCGCCGCGCTCCTTCCCGCCTCGCGGCCTGCCTCGCGCGCCGCTGCAAAGGGCCGGCGCGGGGCTTTTCCGCGCACACCCCCGAGGCCTCTTTCAGACACGCCGCCCCTGGTGGTACCCAAGGCCGATTCTACGCAGGAGTACATCCATGGAAGTGAATGGGACTGAGGCTAGTCACGACGCAGTTTAGTCCCATTCTTTTCAGTGGGGCGACTTCTGTGTTGGGCTAAGGCGGGATACGACCCGTGGTGTCAGATATGGACAGGTCTTCGAAAGGGCCCTGGGAAAGTCTGGCTGGAAAATACCCCGATTGACGGGGTTCAAAGCACACAGTGGCCTGCGCTTGAGGGCTGAGTGTGGATTTTGGTGATGATGATAGCATTACATTTGTATCCTCCTTTGTTCCTCATGCAAGGAACTCAAAACAGCTTGCACAATCTGCTTCCCCTCCATTTTATCCTCACAACAACCACCCTTTGAGGTAGGGCAGGCTTGGCCCAAAGTCAGTGAGTTTCACAGCCAGATGGGGGTAGAACTTGGATCTCCTGGGTCCTGCTAACTACCATACCTTGCTGGCTCTCAACCCAACAACAAACAATGGGTTCGTGGTTCACATATCCAGGTTCAGACAACGCCATGACCTATGGTCATTCGCAACAGCCCATGGTTCAACAACCCACACTCTGCTCATAATCATTCCTTGAGTGTAGACTATGTTGTCTGAAACCAGTTGCACCAACAGGCCATTAACCATGAAGAACCCTTGAATAGATCTATGGTTTGTTGTTGGGTTGTGAATTGATTGAAATGTGATGCTAACCAAAGATGGGAATTGGTGATAGTGATAATGAACCTACCTGTACAAAGCTGCTTATGTCCAGGCATCTCTTCTCTGCTAGTCCCACAGTCACTAATAGCAAAGGATGTGTGGTAGCAAAGTACATTAGAAAGTTCTTGCCCTTTTGCTGTAATGTTTAAATTGGGTCTGAAACTAAAACATGGTGCCAACATGTGCAACAAACCTCATCATGCATTCCACAAGCCTAGCATTTCAATTAGAGTGGGATTTTAACTAGTTTAACTGAAATGATGTTAGGGGAACACCTCATGGAATAATCTTCATGCGTGAACCATGTAAGTAGGGCTACAGATATAACACCACAGATATAACCGATGAGGTTTGCTGGATCCACTTTCTGCTTTACTAGAACCTGGAGTTCCACCAAGCAGAGAAAGATGTAATATAGTGGCTCTTGAAGATGGATGTAGAATTGAGGGGAAAGGGGCCTCTGAGCATATACTCAGCCCTGGAGGAATTTGTTCTCCTTACTGGAACGGGGGCTGCACAGAGATCCTGCTTTTCCAGTGAACTTTATGGCTTTGTCCCTTACTCTTTATTCCCAGCTGAAAAGAAGTCTAAGTAACTGTAGCTGCATTACATAAATATATCTTTTGCCTCTCTTTGTTTCATTTGTTGAATTTAGGCTGCAAGCACGTTGCAATATGGCCCTCTTTGTTTTGCTTTGCAGACTAACAGGTGCACCATGCATATTGACGGTATTATATACATCAGAATTCATCAACAAATGGGTAATGACATGCTGTCAGAGCTCACTGAAAGCCCCTGAAACACCGCCAAAGTCTTCTTAAATCTTATTTAGACCACTGACATATAAAGTTATTCAAACCAAAAGTCATGTGACAGTTGCCCTTTGGTATCAGTGGAACACTCCAAATAATTATAAGTTATGAACTGTTATTAAGATGATGTTTAGGGGAATTATTTAAGCAGGAAGTGACTCATACTAGGCTGTGTTTGTCTTTGGCCTCATTGTTGTGCATGGAGATAATTAAACAGTGGAGTTTGGAGGAAACTCAAGTGGGTTCAGGCTATCATTCCTACCCTCCTCCACAACTCAAGTGATCCGGAACCAGAATTTCCTCCTCTAAAGTAAGTGTCATTGGCTCTGTCCTTATCCTCCATTACTCTGACTTTGCTTGTGTTGGTAGCCTTGCCTTCTTTGTTGATGGCCACTAGCTGCTGTGTCATGTTTGGATATCCCAGAGTATAGTTATTTGTCCTTATTAAGACCTTAAAAACACTTAAAGCACAGACAAGGAAGGAGGGACAAGAGATGCTAGGTATTCATCCATAACTGCCCAGTTTCAGATCAGATGAACCACCCTTTTCAATACTAGTTCCATTTTCTCACATAAAGTTATTCTAGCACTAAGGTAATGAATTACAAATCAACATCTGGAGTAGATCAACTGAACACATTCTGAAAAAAGCAAAGTCAATTAATTAAAAATAAACAGAATAACCATTAGTGTACTACTCAACAGAGTGGATTTTTTGATTAAACCCAGGCATAAGTCTGTATAATGAAAAAAACAGAAACCACAATCATGAGGAAAATTTCTTGATCTGAATTCAAGCCAACCTCTGAAACACTGAAGGTATAAGCAGATGTTGAACTAAACCAAAAGGGTCATGAATTCCTAGTGAGACCAAGTGCTTGGTGATTCATTTGACTTCAGGTTAAATGACTGGACTAGCTTCAAATGGTGTGATGGTGTAATGCTAATCATCACTTTTCTGCTGAATGATGCAAGCAGAATTGCGATTGACTTCCCACACTACTGGCCATTACGGGTTGTACCCAATGGATTGCAGGCAGTGTTAGTCTAACTCATGGGGCTTCAAACTACAGCCCGGGAGCTGGACCTGGCCCACCATGCCCCTTTATCCGGCCCACCATGCCCGTCTGGACCTGCCACCCCCCTTGCCCTGTGTGTGGGCAGTGAGAAAACGACCTCCAAGCGAGCAAGCCGCTGCCTTGCGTGCCCGCCTCACAGCATGTGCCCACCCACGCCTCGCCTCGCCTCGCCTCGCTGTGCGCGCCCGCCTGCACCTCGCCTCGCTGCACGCCCTGCCCCTGCCTCAGTGTGTGCGCCTGCACGCGCCACCCCCACACTGGCCCACCAGCACCACCCTTCCAGCCCACACGCAGCACCAGCAGCTTTCAACTGGCCCCCTGGTGGAAAAGTTTGAGGACCCCGGTCTAACTGAAGTCTGTTACGGTCCATCCAGTTGAGATGCTCATAAGTCTATGCAGAGGAGGAGCAATGGAAGTGTTTCTGCTAGTAGCCATCTAGCTGGAGCTCGTGGGGGGTGGGGTGGGAGTGCGAGCAGGGAGCTGCAGAAGACACAGGATATATCATGCCCTGATCTGTGAAGTCTCCTCCCTTTCCCCTGAAAAGTCCCCTTTCTCCTCTCTGTGAGGCCAGCTGTGAGCAGTGTGTATTTCCAGCGCTGAGGTGGAAACTCTTACCTCCACAACCTCAGATTTGGGAATCCAGAATATCCTATGGCCCATAGACACTGTTTAGGGACATAGGCTCTAATGGTCTTCACTAAATTAAGCTAACATAGGATGAGACGCATTGGTGTTTTTCTGTATGTTCATTCTGCCATGTCTCTTGCATGTTAGTGGATGTGAAGTACTTGCTGTGGGTGAAGAAAGTAGAATGGAACTGAACAAGTCTTAAAAAGACTGATCCTTAAAATAAGGATTAATATTTATTTTGCTCAAAGTAGTTATTCACTGTTGACTAATTATCACAAAAGTGTGTATAGTCAAGGCTATGGTTTTCCCAGTTGCAATGTATGGCTGTGAAAGGTGGACCATAAGGAAGGCTGAGCACCAAAGAATTGAGGCCTTTGAATTTTGGTGCTGGAGAAGACTCCTGTGAGTCCCTTGGACTGCAAGGAGATCAAACCAGTCAGTCTTAAGAGGAGATCAACCCTGACTGCTCTTTAGAAGGCCAGATCCTGAAGATGGAACTCAAATACTTGGGCCACCTAATGAGAAGGTAGGACTCACTGGAGAACAGCCTAATGCTGGGAACAATTGACAGCAAGAGAAGAAGGGGATGGCAGAGACAGGGCTGTCTTAACAGCATTATGGGCCCCGGGCAAAGCAGTGTACTGGGGCCCCTACGACAACTACAACTACTGTTAATTTTGGAAGTTGTCCAATTTTCCAAGGGTTAACATACACAGATTAGTATGGGGCCCACGGGCAAGTGCCCATCAGGCCCATGTGTTAACACGGCCCTGGGCAGAGAATGAGGTGGCTAGATGGAATCACTGAAGCAGTGAGATTAAGTTGACTCCGAGGGATGGTGGAGGACAGGAAGGCCTGGAGGAATGCTGTCCATGAGGTCACAATGGGTCAGTCACGACTTCTCTGCCGTCCCTTTCTTCTTTTGCCATCTATTGTTCCCAGCATTAGGCTCTTCTCCAGGGAGTCCTTCCTTCTCATTAGGTGGCCAAAGTATTTGAGTTCCATCTTCAGGATCTGGCCTTCTCAAGAACAGTCAGGGCTGATCTCCTCTAGGACTGACCGGTTTGATCGCCTTGCGGTCCAAGGGACTTGCAGGAGTCTCCGCCAGCACCACCACAATTCAAAGGCCTCAGTTCTTCGGCGCTCAGCCTTCCTTATGGTCCAACTTTCACAGCCATACATTGCAACTGGGAAAACCATAGCCTTGACTATACGCACTTTTGTTGGCAGGGTGATGTCTCTGCTTTTTAGTATGCTGAAACATCAAATACCTTATATTTCTTTAGTATATCATGATTTTAAATAGAAGCATAGCCAAGCCTGATCCAGATCTGTTTCTTAGGACCTGGGAACTATTCCCTAGAGATTGTAATGATAAAGTATGGTTTTTATGGGTTTTTAAAGTCTAATTGCTATGTAGAAGGTGATTTTCAAGGACAATTCCCGATTGGGAGGGCATTGTATTCACTTTCTACATGGCAATTAAACTTAGAAAAAATCCTTTTAGATTGGTTTAGGATGATATGGGTAATGGTGCAAATTAATTGAATAGTTTATTTTGCTCGGATAAGGAATTGACTTACTTTGTGTCCTGTGAAACTTAAATCAGTCCTAGTAATTATTTATACATTTGCATCTATGACCAAAATTGACATTTTATACAGATTGATATCCTATGGAGCTGGGCTCCAGATCTTTTAGGCACCTAGCAGCATCCCTCATCCTAAATTTCCAACTTATATTTGAGCAAATACGGTTAGGGTTTGTGCTATGGGAATGAAAGCATATCAGCCTGAATAGCTCAGTTCAGCACATTGACCATCCAGTGGGGCTTGCTCCCTGGGAAGAGCGCCTTACCGCTGGGCGATTAGTGAGATGCACGCCTGGTCTGATCCAGTGTGGCTCTTAAAGATGAGAACAAGACACCATAGAAGCTATGCAAGGCCATTGTAGGATACAGTCTATTACACTGTGTAAAGAGACAACCTACATGGTATCCGAGGGACATCCAAGCTTGCTGCTCCCAACATAATGTTCTTCTGATCTGGCTCTGCTATTAGTAGGAAGGGTTGGCAGTTTCCTATTGAAAGGGTTATAGAAATGTCAAGAGAAATAACGTGTCCCCTCTTTAAGAGCTCGATGAGACAAATGCATTTTTACTGGAAAGTAAGCCTCGCTGTGTTCCATGGGGCTCGCTTCCAGGGAAATGAGCGTTACGCTGAGGCCTCAACTCCGCAGTCTATCATTAGCGAAACAAATTTATTCCCGTTCCGTCGGGCCGTTTCCTCTTGTATTTGAGGGAGCGCGGGAACTCTTCCCAGCTGGCGCTGAGCGTCACCCGGGACGGTTTTGGCGTCGCACCGCTCGGCATTCCCCGCTGACAACAAGATGGCGGCGCCCGTGTGGAGATGCTGCCTGAGGAGAGGTGGGTGCTGAGAGCAACATTCTGTTGCACGTATGTTCAGTCGGAGGCCTTGTCTTCTCTTCCTCGCGTCGCCCAGCCTCCCTGCAAAATATCCGCGCTCGTGATGCTACGCGCGCGTGGGTTTCTGCTTCAGCGCAAGCTCGGCCGCGCCTCTGAGCACTGCTGCAAGATGAGCCCACCCATGCCCAAGGCAGCTGCGCTCCTGCATTGTCGTTCATCATGTGGGGAGTGGGAGGCGCCAGGGGCCTGCCAAGGGGGAGAGGGAAAGAAAGACAGCCATCCTCTCAAGAAAAGGTCTGGGAATTGTAGGAAGGGCAGAGTCATTTGAAAGACAGAGCGACGGGGCAGAATGCAGTGCCAGCCCATCTTGAGTGATAATTTAACTCCTGTATGTTGATTTACTTGATTTTTCTATTCGAAAACAACAAAGACGGTAAAATGATCTTAATTTTTATTCATGGTGGTCCATGCTTCCTACCTTGGAAGAGGTACGGTGTCACTTTTTAATGTAATTTAATTGGAAGGGGGAACACATGGCCCTCCATATGTTGTTTGTTAGTATTGACTTTTATTGTAAAATTTCAGCAGAACAAAAAAAGGGGGATCATAAGCTACATAGATTTGAATATATCAGTTTCAACACATGCATATGGAATGTAACTATATATAGATGTATATGAATATACAGATTTTGGACTGTAGTTGCTAGCATCCCTCACAATTTGCAGTCCAACATCTAGACCACATGTTCTCTGCAAATAGAGGATTGGATTTCAATGGGAAGTGTTTTAGTTTAGCCCCATAGCTGACAGCTAGACTTTTATGTGGAGGAATTTCTATTTTTTTATTCCTACATTTTGTTCATTCACGTATGAAACACTCAAGACTAGATGTATGGATGAGAACTAGGCCACAGCCCCATTTAATAGGAAGTAAGTCCCATTGCTTTTAGTATATATCACTTCCAAGTAAGTGTGCTGAGGATTGTACCTTAGTTGTTTTGGGTCATTTCTTGAAACTACTAGCACATACAAAAGCTCATTGAAGACTGATTGTTAAATGTCTTGACTAGCTGCTTAGCTTTTAACTGACAAATATTAGAAATAAACTTTTGCTTTTTCTGTCTTTAAAAGTATTAGCTCATTGTCCTAGACAAATTTTCTACAGAATTGGTCAGCATTCTGCAGCACTTCCACATTTTGCCAATAGTCAACGCTATGCTTCAAAGTAAGTAAACAACTTTTATTTATTTGGTTAATGAGTAAAAACTATTTAGAAATATCAAAGCATAAATAGTAATACTGAGCTGGGCTCAAATATATCACTAGTAGCTGCATTTAAATGGGCAATATATATTTAAACTATATAACCTCAGCAATTAAGCAGTATAAAAATGAAGTAGATGAAAAATATATTTCTAGATAATCTTTTAATAATTTATACTAAAAGACAGGTTTAGCATCTTCTGTAATCTTGGATTATTTGGCATATGCTGTGTGGGGTTATTAGTGTAAACTGTGCCTTGTTAACCTAGTTCACATGTAATTGCATTTCCTAGGTTGTCTATTTTAGGGATTTTTTGTGATTGAGCAGGAGCAAGTACTCTGCTACCTGCATGCCCCTTGCCTCTGCTTTCAGTTAACAACCCAGGAACACTTAATTAAAGGGGTTAAATCAATCAGAGTTTAACCCAACAACAAACCATGGATAAATTCTGGATTGTTTAACCCCTAAACAATCACTGGTTCTGGAATCTGATGGAATTACTTCAGTTTTTTTCATAAAGCAGAAGTGGTGAGCAGGTTGGAATCTAGAAATTGTTTAGCCCAAGAATTGTTGTTATATGTGAAATGGGTCAGTCATTTGCTAAAATAGTACTTTGCTTGCATTTTGTGAACAAATTGTAGCTAAATTAATAGATAGGATTAAGATGTTACATTCTCAGCTTGAAGCTAACCAATTCTGTTTCTGAGCCCTGGTTTAAAAGAATATGCAATGAGGCTTAACAGTCCCTCTGAGAAAAACTGTTAATTCATCATACTGAATATTAGCAATAAGTGAATGGGTTTTCAAGCACATTGTGGTTACAACATCTGTTCTTACTCAGAATTGTTTTCTTATAGGTCAATGAGAACCAGTGTGGTATACTGATTAGTGTTGGACTGAGACTCTTAAAACCCAGGTTCTATTTCCCACATAAACATGAAGCTCTCTGGATCAATCACAGGCTCTCAGTCTAACCTAGCTCATAGGGTTCCTGTGAGGATAAAATAGGAGGACTGTGTAAGCTGCCTTGGGTGCTTTGCAAGAGGAGGAAAAGGCAGGATATAAATGCAGTGTTAAATGTAATGTTAAATATGCGTAAAGGATAGCAGCTTCTAGAAACAGAACACAGAGCTAATTTTTCCTAGGCGTTCCTCTTTTCTAAGTTTTTCCTATAGAGTTGTTCTATTGCACAGGACCCATTCATTGTAGTGGATCTTACACAGAAAGTTCTTGGTGGATTAAAGCTTCTGTGTACAAATACTCATTTTAAATTTATTCAGACTTTGGTTCCTTGTGAAATCAAAAGAGCCCAACATGGTGAGAGTCCAAATTTTCCCCTTCCGGTTTAGTCATCCTCCCACTGGAAACAATAATCACTACCCTAAATGTACAAAAGATGTACTGTAGAGAAGAAAATTAATGAATTCATAAAATTAGGAATTCAAGCTATTTTCCATTTCAACTTTACTGTGCCTTAAACCAGTTCTGGAATTAAATTGTATGTAACTTTTATAAGTAGTCCTATGAAATAAACACAAATGAGTCAAGTTATACAATCAAAGGTTTGACTTCATGTTTTCTTCACCATTAATAAGAATAAGAAATGGAGAAATTAAGTCCAGCAATTTCAGCAATGCAAAAATGCCAATGGAAGAGCTAGAAAACAGCTGCATCATTTGGACAGCTCTTAAAAATATGTTGCAGTGAATTCAACTTGGATAAAACAAACCATCCAAAGCTACTGTAGAACAGTGGTGTTCAACTTTTTCAGGTTTGCTGGCCCATCATTAACATAAACCCACAACACGGAATTCTCCATTAATTGTATCCACTTTTAATTTGCCTGTCTGCTTCTCTTCTGCATCTTTCTCCTTTTCTCAAAACAAAATGGTAATCTTATCTGTGTGAGACTATTTTGAAGATAATTGCTCTCACCATTGTCCAAAGCTAGGAGTGCCATTCGAAATACAGAAACATTAAAACCAAGCAAGTCAGAAGGAGCCTCCTGGGCCATCTGTTCTGACTCCCAGCTCCAGCCTGTTCCACTCATGTAATCCCCAACATGTGGCTGTCCAATCTTTCCTTGAACACCCTCACTGATGGGGCCTCAACCACCTTCTCTTGGAAAGCCCATTCCATATTCTAGGGATGCTAACCATCAGGAAATACTTCCTGACATCCAACCTGATGCCTGGTTCCTTGAGTTTTGCCCCATTGCAATACACCCTGCCCTCCACTGCAGGGAAGAACAGGTCATAGCCCTCCTCCACACAACATCCCCTCACATACCTATAAGCCACTAAAAGATTCCCTTGGAGTCTCCCTGTTGTCCAGTTCCCTCAATCTCATCTCATATGTCATCCTCCCCAGTCTGGCCACCATCTTTGTGACCCTGTGCTGAACTGATTCTAACCTAATTTGGTGTCAGCTGTGGCTACTGGTTTGTTTTAAGGCTCAATTTCAGGAATAAATTTTGGCCAGATGTTGATCTGGACAAATTACGGAATGACCTGTCCAAAGAAATGACTTTGTTCCCCTCATTGCCTCTTTTAAATAGGCTATTTTCTTTTGGGGATGCATTTAGTGAAGTCTTCTTAGAGTCTGTGGTTTTACTGCTTATGTTTGGATTGACTTTCTTTCCTTTTTGCTACTTTAATTATTTTATTGTTTTATCTGGCCTCCTACACCTCCTTGTGTTTTTGCACACTATCGCAGAGAAAGGCAAGTTAAAATGTTATCATAAATCCACAAAATGAGAAAATGGTGTTGCCACCCCTGGATTACCATTGACAGAAGATTGATTTTATTTCTGAGTGTAAAGAGAGTCTGTTCACTGTCAGAATAGTTTAAAAAATCCCTGTGGAGGAAACAAGGTTGAAACTCAGGCAGTTTTTCAACTAAGGACACAATTTTATGCACAGACAGAAGTCCTATATTTCACAGCATTCTTCAGCTAGCATGATTCTTTCCTGTCTAATTACATATAGCACTGCAGCCTAAGGTAGTCTTCTGTAGCAAGGTCAGGCAAAGGGCAGAACTCCAGATGATTGGGACTTCAACTCACCAGATCCTTCCCAGCATGGTCAGGTATGCTAGGAGTTATAATCCAAAGCACTTAGAGTTCTGCTTTCTGTGTGCCTCTTTTCTACAGCACCTTTGCATGTGTTCTTTGGTTTTAACTCTGACTGTTACCTCTAATATTTATTTTAGTCATTTGAAGAGTGTATGGGTTTTATAGTATGGTTATTACGACATGATGCTTCATTTATTATTTCTGTTTCTTTAAACAAGAGCGAAGCCCTATAAAATTCCCCCTAAAAAGAAAGCCCCTGAATCGAAGCCCAAGGAAAAAAAGCAACAGTTCAGAACTGAGTTACCAAGTGAGCCAACAGATGATGTGTATTTGACGTGGTGCTACAAACGGCCAGTTTATGAGGCAGAAGTTGCTTTAGATATGTTGAAGAAATTTCAGCCACTGGACTTTACTCCCCCTGATCAGGAGGTGTATGCAGATATCACGCTGGATATGGCAACGCCAAAGGTACGCTGAAAAGTGCTCTCAGTCTACATGTGGCAGTGGCCTCTTTTTTACAGTTTATGACTGAAATGATTTCTGAATTTTAAATAACTGAGGCTTTTGAAATTAAATACGCGAGGAACAGATGATTGTTTCAGAAGCTGTTAATTCAGAGAAGACATCCTGAAAGTAGTTCCTAGAGCATTGGTGGGAGCTCTAAAGGATTTGCATGGGATTGTGAATTCTCCTATCTCCAACATGTGACTATTGCACTGCTGTTAAGAAACTTTGCTCTGTCTTTCTCCAACCTGTTACCCTCCAAATGTGCTGCAGTATAACTTCCAAGATACACATGGTTACTGGCAATGTTGGGCATGGTAATCAGATTAGAGAAGACTAATCTATAGTCTCCTTGGGAACATGGAGCTAGCCAGTGAGTTCTTTGGATCTTGACTATTGTGTATTTTAGTTATTCATTTTAACTTATTTTATTTAAAGTATTTATATACCATCCTGTCGCGAAAGCCTCAGGACTGCTCACATAGATAAAATACAATAAAATATAATATAGATATTTTAATATATGTTTTAAACTCTTAGGGCATAGTCCTTTACTAGACAGAAACTGGGCCACCACAGGATCATTCAAGCACCTACCTCAGAATGCTGCTCTCCAGCTGGAGCTGGGACTCCAAATTGCAGCACCCTCTTCTGCCCTTACAGCCAGTGTAAAAAGACTGAAGCTTTTGTGAGGCGGAATGGGAGGAGACAGGTACCATCAGCATATGCTCCACCTCCTCTCCTGATGTTCCAAGGCAAAGCACTTTGACAGCTTTAAATCAATCATTTTAGTGTTTTGCAGGGTAGGAGAAATGCAGAATCAACCTTCAGCTCCCTTTGTCTTCTACCCTCCATGGTATGCCTGTAATCCCCTGAATTTGAAAGGTTGCAGGCAGCCTCACTGGATTCTGCTGATTGACCTGCCCTGACAGGTGTACCTATGATAGATTGCAAATTGGGAATGTAAGGGGAAAAACCAAAATGGCTAGAATGATTGCTTGATCGGACATATTTCTAAAGGTGCAATCCTATGTATGTTTAGATAGAAAATAAGGCCTAGAAATCCCAGCATTCTCCTGCCAGTATTACTAACTGAGGCATGCTGGGAGTTGTAGCTCTTTTCCCTGTCCCAACAGGCAGAGGAGTTCTTCAGTCAGTTTTCAGGAATATATCCATCCAAGGTAGCTAACAATATAATTTTAAAATACAATGTAAGATAATGTTATAAATCAATCTAAACAATATAAACTCAAAATATCCCGTAATATGAAGCAAAATAATGCCACTTTTAAGCTATAGCAGAAAAACAGTTTCACAGTAGTATCTGGGGCAAACATCCCAGTTAAAAGCTATTTGAGTTTTTAAATAAAACTCAGAAAAGAGGTGAGTAAGAAGAAGAGACATGGTAGATTTTTCTCCCTTTCTTATAATATTACAGTCAGTGCAGTCATCCCATGAAGCTGATTAGTGGAAGATTTCGGCCAGAGAGCACATATTTCAACTATGTGATTCACTTCCAGAATATGTATTGTTGACCATCAATTTGGACAGCTTTCAAAGGGGATCGGACAAATTCAGGAGACTGAGGCTACTATTGGCTATTATTCCGGATAGTTATGTGCTGCCTCCAGTATTAGGGGCAGTGTGCCTGTGTGGCTCAGGAACATGGAAGGGAGGGTGCTGATGCACATTCTGCCTGTGGATTTCCATAGACAGCTAGTTGGATTAGAATGCTGCGGTAGATGGATCCTTGGTCTGAGCTAGCACAGTATTCTTTAATACTATGTTCCTTTTTAACACTGCAACCATACATTACTCGGAGAGGGAGTTTCCTAAGTTAGGGGCTACTGCTAGGAAGGTAAAAAAAATGGCAAGGGAGAGTTCCCGTAGGTAAGTTTCTTTCAGAGTTAATTTTACCTATATTAAATGAGTAAACCCGTCTTGCTGGAACCACATAATCTGAGATTTTCTTATTGTCTCTTTTTTCTATTTTTCAGAAAACATTGGAGCCATTTGATAGTACACTTATTTTTCCTTATCGTTTCACAGAAAGCGTCCATAAAGTTTTAGCATTTACAGAGGTAAGTTACAAAGCACTGTGCCAAAAGCTTCTGAATCACTTTTGTGTGATTTGTTCCAGACTGTGAAAAGATACCAATCTCAAAGATACCAATCAGTGCAGAATTCCTGAATAAAAACAATATGTTTTGCTTTCATTCCATTCCCGCTCCGCCCTTTCATCCTAAATATCAATGTTGCAAAGGTGGACAGATATTAGACAACTTATCATTGGGGAATTAACTTTACCACCCAACCACTTCTGTGCACCTGTATTTTTCTTCCATAATGTGTTTGGTACAGTATGGATTGGATGATAACGCACCCAAGAACCCTTGGGCTGTTTACTTATTTGGGCATTGTTAGAGTCTGTGTTTACTTCCAAGACCTTTTCTTTATGGTGGAACTCTGTAAAAATAATGATAAATGTTCAAAGTGCTTCATAAACATAATCCTTACCATAACCTTATAAGGTTCAGGTGAGCAGAAAGTCAACTGTAGTCCCCTGGCTAATTGTCAGTGAATCATCCAATACCTGTTTGTTGCTATGATTTTTGCCAAGAATGCTAGGTCACGCAGATCTGTAATCTCCTTACCCCACTTCTTTGGCACCAGCATCCAAAAAACCTGTTCTCGGCTTTGAGAGTTAGTAAACTCATTTTGCCTGGAGAGTTTGGCCTGTTTCTAAAGGTGAGATAGTTTGAATCAATGAGGGCTGCCCATTCAGAAGCTCCTGTGTGGTGACCTGGTTTCAAATCACACTAAGTCACAGTGGATTGATGTTGTGACTTAATGTGACACCTGAACCATAGCATTCTTTTTGTCATGGGTGGTTTTTTCACAAACAAGCTGTTCTAAGAGCGCATGACTTGTACTTGGGTAGCTTGTCATGATGTCAGCCTGACAAGGGAATTATATTACGGGTTGTTGGGAATGGCTGGAGAGCTTCCTGACAAGAACAGCAGTATCCCCTGCTCCTCCTTGTGATCTTGCTAGTACCACAGACATTGTCCTTCATTTCTGGTGTCTTCAAGCCAAATTATTTCCTTGCAGAAAGAAGAAGAAGCTACTCTAGCAAGCAAATATGGTGCTGCAATTGTAGGAGGGGCCGAATTAATCAAGCCGGTAATTAACATATATGTAAATTAAATATTGTAATAATAGCTTCAAAAGTCTAGACTCTAAATTATATCTGCACCTTTTAGTAAAGGGGGGCACCAGGCGTTCCCTGAACTTAGGATGTTTCTGAATGGAATTTTGAAAGTACTTCCTCATTTCTTCTTTTTTTTTAATTTTTTAAAGAGTGGAAATAGATTCTGCCAATTAAAATGAGAATCTGTTTATAATTTCTCAATTACTGAATGAAATTGATGTGTACATCTCTGGGAGGATTACCTCAAATTTGGCCAAGGAAAGAAATGTGTTCCCGATTGGAAAATGGCCTCTCGTGGTTTTATTGGTTGGAAGCAATGGTTCAACTTGTTCATTTCTTCAGCTATGCTTGTTAGCTATTTTTTGGAACGTGGTTGCCTACTGCTAAATTAGATTCTGGAACCAGAGTTGAAGATTTTTATGTACAAAATGCATTGCCCTTTTCTTTCATACCATCTTGTCATGTTTAAAAGGTGAGTGTTTGGAAATTATTTATTCCCTGTGCAGAGGAGTCCTCTGCCTGGCTTTCAGCGAATGTTGTCTGTGGTTTTAAATGGAAGGTATCATAATATTTCCTACAATCTAGTCTTTGTGTCTGTGGAGAAAATAACAGGACGTTCCATGGTGCCTTTTTTGTCCTGGAACTGGGAGTGCCCAGAGTAAATATTTGCCTTCACTGCCGAAGGGGCATGAACATTATCATCAGCTCTGCAAACAAAACAGAATTTCTCCTTTCAAACAAGAAGAAAATTAGTTTATTTTTGCACTTACACAGGCCAAACTCTGTCAGAAAGTTGATGCTTATGTATGAGATAACCATCTTGATAAAAGATTGCACACCAAATTAAGTGTTTGCAAATTAATCTCAAATAGGAGTTTATTCAGGGTCCTTCCAAACAGGATTCCTAGTGTTACCTATCAAAAGCCATTGTGCCACTATTTAATCTTTGCCTCCTTAGTACATATTCTTTGGTAAGAAAAAGATGGAGGAAGCACTGGGAAAAAAGGGAAAGTTACAAATGGAAGATATACGGATATCCCCTAAAATTCCATGAGGGAGACAAGGCAATTGCACAGTAAAAGTCCCATTTAGAAGCACTCCTGGTATCTGATTGAGTGGATTTTCTTCTTGAGATTTTATGTATGTGACATATCTGAATGGTTCTTGATTGCTGAAAATTACCTTATTTCTGTATACTATGAGCGGGCGACTTGACTCTAAGTTGAATTTGAAATATTGCAATGATCATTGCCTTTAATGGAAGAGTATGTGTATCCCTGTGAGGAACTCTTCTCATGAAACACTATTATGAAGGGACAGTAGAGTACATGGAGGAGAAGTGTAAGTCCACCTGGGTGCAGCATCACTTAGATAATTCCGATGCTGTTCTTATTCTGCTCTAAAGAGTATCTGTATCCTCCTTGCTTCAGTGTTGAGACAAACATAGTACACTTCTATTATTTATGTATTCGTTTTATGAGCCATGTGATCTTAATTGTTTCGTTCATTTTTCTTATCTCTAGCAGTGACGGGAATGTGAAGAAAAAGCAGGTGTTCTGCCTTCTAATTACTTATTCCTGCTTGCTGTGGCATAATTATATATGCAAATATTGAACTTTCAGATTCTGAATGGTGAAATCAATGCAGATTTTTATGTTGCTGTGCCTTCTGTGGTATCCAAGCTCTCCCCTTTAAGAAACTTCCTGAAGCAAAAGTTCCCAAAGACCAAAAATGGTAAGGGCCATGGTGTGTGCGTGTGCCTGTGTTTCTTAAGCATCAAAGCTGAGGGTGGGCAATGTCTGTCTCACCAGATGTTTCAGCCTCCAGCTTTCATCAGCCCTAGCCAGCATAGCCAGTAGTGAGGGAAGATGGAAGTTGTAAGCCAAAACAGCTGGATTCCCACAACTTGCCTCCTCTTCCTCTAACACTACCATGGTAAACGCTCTTCCGCACGTAGCCCTCATGGAACTTAGTGGGGCTGAGTATCAAACGTGCATGTAAAAAGCATGTTCCACATTACACCTGCATTACAGAAGAGTGTTTGAATGAAGTCGGGCATGGATACCCCTGGGTATGTTCGTCCTGGGCCTGTTGCAGGGTGCCTTATGTCCAGCCACTACTGAGTGGAGAAAGGTGAACAAGCAACATCCGCATCCCCTGTGATTGCACTGCACGGCTCTCTATTACGATTTCCCCATAGTACCTTAAACATGGAGATGGTGGCACACTTGGGCTGAAAGGAGAAGAAGTGGGGGCACACCAGCACACAACCCCGGAAAGCAGGGAAGCTAAGCGTAGCACTGTGTCACAGGAATGCGCCCGCTGTATTCTCTGTTCCAGATCGGCAGTGGTTAACTGCCATGTTTGGGGGCGGGCATTCTTGTTCTCTCTGTGTTCTTCTGGGGGCCTGAACTATGGATCATTTCATGGATGGCCATTGTCGACTTGTCATTGTTACTGTCACATTTTTTGCATAAATAGAGCATCATCAGTTGCAGTGTGGCTGTGGAATTAATGTGCTTCTTGAAAGAGGGGATTGTGGTCCTTTGCTTTTTCCAGGAAGTTTGTACAGTGCCCTAAGACAAAGAAATTCCCACAGACACTCATTCCCTGTTTTCTTTTTATCACATATTTATTTAATGTTTGATGTATTGCTACCAAGGATCAGATAAAATTGGTCTGAGGGACAGATATGGTTAAAGAGCCTCCAAGTTTTCATCCTTCCTCTAGACTGTTCTGTGATAAAGGAGCAGACAGAGATTGTAAACTTCCAGAATAGTATGCCAGGTATTTTGGATTAGCTTCCATTGTGACTCTTTCGGAAGGATTGTTCCCCTTGAAGGACCATGGAGTCCTATCACCCCCTTTTTTACCAGGTTTGTTTTGCACTGATAAGCTGAAGCAAGGAATTATTCTTGTGCTTTTCTTGCATGCCTTGCGCTGTCTCCATAGGATATTTTTAGGCAATATACTGTGCTCTTTAGATCCTTGGAATAAATTACAGCCTGCCAGAAGAGGAGGGAAAATACACCAGATAAATGCTAGAGCCAGAGGAGACCTGTATTTAACAAATTCCTTCTGGTCTCCTTTTGAAATGTCATGTCTATTGTATTAACAAAAATGTTTAGGGAGGAAGTTGGGACTGGTATAGTAGAATTAGTTTTTAAAGTGTGAGTGAAAATAATAACTCAGCTTCTGTCTGAGTGAGTCAGACAGAGTTTGTCCTTAACCACTCCACAGAGAGTTGGCAGGTTCACATGGCATAGCCAGTCACGGTGGGTATGTTACCGTTGTAGGTCTGTTGTGTTGTCTGAAGCCCATTGTGGTATTTGGTTTGTTCTGTGGCTTCTCAGTGCCATAACAGCTCGTGATGTTGCCTGAGCCTAGAAAACAGAATTCGTCATGGTACCATGGCCAGCACTGACAAGAACAGTCTCATTGCTGCTCTGGCCAAATGCTTGCAGTGGCAGCTGTTTTCTTCCTCAGCTGTCAGAGGCATCCCCACTCGGCCCACCTCCCGCCCTGAAGAGCTGCTCTAGCACCACTCAGCATATTCCTTCTTGTTCCTCCTCTCGTGGACCCTGGAAGGAGGTCCCTCACGCGTGTGAGTGCAGGAAGGGTGAGAATCGGCTTGGGGATGGTGTCTGGTTGAAGGCTTCGTGCCTCAGTAGATTTCTTGCATGCCCCCCTTTCCCTTTCCTGCTTGTGGAAGGGTGTTTCCAACACCGAGCCCACCCAAGCACTTTTCCAGCAAGCAGCAGTGACGAGAGGGAGGGGAGACTTGTCCTCTTTTCTTGCTTCTGCTTGCCATAAAGGTGTTCCCAACCTGCTTTGTGGGTGCGGGATTGGGGACACCTCTCCAGCAAGCCAGAGTGAGCATGGGAGTCTGTTGGAGAAGAGTTTGAGCTATGCAGCCTCTAACCAGGCCCACCATCCAGCTGATTCTTGCCCTTGCCATGCGAAAGGGGCAGCAGAGAGGGAAATCTGCTGAGCAGCTTTACTCCTTTCTGCAGCGCTGCTGAGCTGATTTCCCCCTGCTCCTTTTGCCTGAGCCTGGATCAGGCACCCCCTCCTTCTCTAGCAGTACCTTCTGAAGCAGGAGGCGAGAATGCCTGATCAGCCCCCATGTCTTCTCTGCTGCTCTTTAAAGTATGAGCCCTGTTTGCACAACAGGGTATGCTCGGCAGCCACAGCGAACTGAACTGAGCTCGTGATTACAGCTGTCAAAGAAAAGGCCCTCATTCCTCCCTGTGGTGCCTTCTGGGATACCATCTGGAGGCCTGAGAAGGAAGTAGGTGGCAAGAGGGACAAGAAGTACCCTGATGAGCTCGATTGTCTGTCAGGCACATTAAGAGTAAAAACCTCTTTTTACTCTGTGCTTTCTTAACCAAGAGGTCCTTCAATGCACACACACACAAGTCTCCTGTTAATAACTGGATATAAGATACTGACATGTGCTTTAGGGTTCCATGTCCACTGCAGTGGTGAAGAAAGCCTGAGCAAAATCTGTTGGGATATTGGGAGAGGTGGTGATGTTCTATTACTGTAGGGGTTTTCAGGCTGGGGTTGGAAAAATGGGAGGAAAAACCACTTTTGGTGCTCTATCAAAAGGTTCTGAATTGGTTTGCAAACTGTAAATGTGAAAACCAGGCTCTTGGTTTTACCTTGAGCAGGAGTGTATTAAACTTACAAGTGTTGGCTCTGATGCTTTGCTGCACATACAGAATTCCTTATTTGCAATTGGGGATGCTTGGCACTTACATCCTCTTTGTGACATGTGATATACTTTGCAACACAGAAGCGGAAAGGGAGAACACCTTTCACACACAAGGTGTTTTCCCCCCACGGTGGAAACACTGGGTGGTTTTGATGGATCATGCTTCATTTATTTGATTTGTCTTTGGTTTTCCTTTGAATCAGGTTCTCTTAGTTACGACATTATCGAGATGCTTGAATTCTTCACACTGTGCCATAAATACAGGGTAGAAAATGTTAACATGATCCGAACTCCAATTGCAAAAGTAAGTTTCACAAGAATTACTGTCAACTAACCCAGCTGAATTTTTTTGTTCTAAGGAGTTAATAATCTACTGAAAATATGGACAAAGATAGTGCTCTAGTTCTTCATTTGCTTTGTAGCTTTTTAGGAACGCTCTGAAATGGGTCATTCAGAAGGGCAGGGTGGTGCAGTTGGTTATGGGGAGTCAGGTAAATCAGAACTTTTTGTTAATGTAAGAGGCTTCCTTTCTGAATACACAGAAAGCACAGTTTGCATGATGTTAAGGAACAGCGTGTTGTTAATTTGCTTTAGGGCTACTGCTCCTGATGGCTACCTGCTGTCTTCCATGCTAAAGGCACTTTGCCTGTGAACACCAGTTTCTGGGTTACACGGGCAGGAGAGAGCTGCTGCTCAGCTCCTATTTGTTGGCTACTATGTGTGCAGTACCCTGACCTAAATGCTTGCTTGGCCTTATTCAGCAGGGCTTCCTTGCATTCTTAATATTTTTAAAGATTGCAGTATTTTTCTTTATTCTTGTTATAATATTTTGCTGTCTGTTATAGACTGCTCTGGGATGGTGTAGTCTATCCTGGAAGGAAGTTTTAAAAACCTCTAGATAATAAATTGTGCAGTCTTTGTGGCATGGGATGAGTAATAGGCTGCATAGAACAGTATTTCTCAAATTATGGGTCATTCATTTGCAGAATATTGTGCCAAAATGTGGGTGTAAGTGGGGATCTATTCTGCATACATCTCTGTAAGTTGCCTTTATAAACCAGGCTATACAAAGTGACAATGACATCCAGTATGAAGATGACAGCTTCTGTTTACCTGTGAGAATATTGTGGCCTAGAATTAGATTTGTTGCCTGCTTAAGTAATCTTTTTGCTTCAATCATGCAGTCTTTATTCCTTAAAACTGCACATGGGTAAAAATAATCATAAACTAGATTCAGTTTATAAGTGTACATCATCTTAAAATTAGCATTCCTTCTTATAGGAGGATGGGGAATGCCTCTCTTTTAAGGTACTGCTTGGATTTTGGGATGGGGGTACCTCCTGCATTAACATCCTCGTGTCTTTAAATGTGCCTGGTTGCTTGGGGATTTGCTGGATGTCCAAAATATACTCCGACAGATACTGTTGGATGTTGACAGTTTCCTAGACACAGTTGCCCATGTTCCATTGAGTGAGTCTAAAAAGGAGGGGATGTATCTGTTTTCCCTGCTGTTTTCCTCTTTGTGGAGCTCTTGTCTGCCTGCCAGCAGGCATATTCTTTGAAGGAAGCTTCATCTGAGCATTGGAGAGGAGTAAGGCCTTTCTTCTGCAAAGCAAGGCTTTGCTTCCTCTGCAGAGAATGGCCTCTGGTTCCAGGTTTATTGTACTTGCTCAGCCTTACAACACACCAGGTTTTCATCGTCCGTTCTAATATAGGAATAGAAATGGGCACCTGCCTGTGAAATCCCTTGGAGTATCAATTCCGGGGTTAAGCATTTGAAATGGTATTGCTTCCTTCACAAACAATCAACTCTCACTCTCATGTAAGAAGTGGATCTTTCACTGTGACTTACTTGACCTGCCATTGAACTTTCCAGCCTTTTGCAATGAATTGGAGACCTTGTTTGGGTGACGCAACAGACCCTTGTGAGTCAAGTAACCCTTAAGAAGCTGGAGTGCATGTTGGCCACCATTATGAACGTACAGTGCCTGTCCGGGGGTTCTCATGTCATATCAACACTGCTTGGGGGGCAGTTTTGAGCAGCCGGTGTGATATGGTGCTTAAGAGTGTGTGACTGGAACTCAGGGGATCTGGATTCTAGTTCCCACACAGCCGTGGAGCCAACTGGGTGACTTTGGGCCAGTCACAGACTATCGACCCAATCTTCCTCACAGGGCTGTTATTGTGAGGATAAGATTGAGAGGAGGAGAATTATGTAAGTGGCCTTGAGTTCCTTAAAAGAAGCAAATGTAGGATATAAATAAAATAAACAAACAGTCCTGGCCTAATTCATGGACTTTTATGGGGTTATGCAAGGGTTGTTTAGTCCTCAAACTTTGCCAGCCAACTTTGCATGATACAACCCCAGCTTCGGTGTACAGATTCATCAGGGTGGCTGACTCATGCCTCAGCTACTCAAAGCTTAATTAATCTATATCAAAAAACCCTGAAATTTATTTATTTAAAACATTTATATCCCATCCAATACCTAGGGTCTCAAGAAGTTTCTGGCTGTTGACTTCTCTGCACAATATGTGTTTCGTCTTCCATCATTGGTTTAACAGGGACTCTGATGGATGTGACTTTCAATTCTGTCTCACCAGCTTGACTTTCTCTTACGTTCTGCTGTTATCCTTGAGGACAGCCATCATTCCTAAGGATGCTGGAGAAATCCACAATGGACTCAAATGAGAATTGAGTCAAATTTCTGCATATCCATTCCTCCATTTCTCAGCAGACTGGCTTTATTTATTGAACCTCTGTCCCGCAACTGTCAGCTCTCATGGGGATTGAATGCACGTGCATGCACATTTATAGTGGTCGAGGTTGAGTACAAGCTTAAGGATGCTTTCTGCTTTTTTCACAGCAGGATATCTTTGAGCTAATGATAATGATAATGGCACTCACAGTACTTCACATCTTGAACAAAGAAGGAAATGTTTTTCCTTTTATTAAAAAAAGCCTGGGATGCTGATTAAATATTTGCCCCAGCCACTGCAATTTTTATTAATCTGGCAGCATTTAATGTTTTCTGCTTCATTAATTTTGCATTAACTCCTTTCAGCTTGATATGCCTAATGATCAGATACTTGCCAATCTGGATGCAGTTATTAAGGACGTTTGTAAATACAAACCTCTGAAATATGGTAAGCTGCTCTTTTTTTTAGTCTCTTAATTGACAATAATGGCTAATTATATTACTTGGATGAATAAGGAGGAGTAATTTCTTACACCGAGGAGTAAAAATTGCTTGATTAAACCCCACACAAATTACCAGGCCATGCAATAAAAACCATTAACAGGTAGTACATAGTATTATGGCAGACAGGATATACTTAAATAATAAAATTGATTCTAGCTACCTTGCTTTGTACGTACTGGTGCATGTGTTCTTTCACCCTCACACCCCAAGGAAGTTTTTTTTAACCCTTAAATGGGTACCACCCAAAAGTGTTGGCCCCTAGCTCCCTTCCTTCCTACCTACATGACTATTGGAGTTACAGTCCAGATGTCTAGAAGGATATTTGCGAATTTTAGGAATGAATTTTTCTTCCTGCCCATCCCTGCCTCCTTCTGACTGCTTTTGGAATGTCAAAAGCAGATTTCTTTTGATCAGTATTGAAATTTCTCAATATACATTTTGTTATGATCCCATTAGAAAATAATCATTTAAAAAAGAATATACAGCAGGAAATAGAGCTAATGTTTGTTGATAATAGAATTTTCCCCGACATCCCATCTGTGTGAAATTGGGTGAAAATTGGAGGAGGTTTCAGCATTCATTGAACACCTGCACTAGTGCTTTTCAAGTCTCCTTTTTGGAAGATTTTTACTGCAGTAGTTACTGTGGTTCCCTGACATGTCTTTAAAAAATGCATATATTGGGGTACTGAGAAATAGATGCACATTTAATAGATAGCAAGCAAATGGAGGAGAAATTTACATCAAATTAAGGGCAGGGCACTGAACGGGAAATGTGCACACTTGCTGTAGTGGAGCAGTCGCTGCAGAAGTGCCACTCTCCCCTCCACTTGCTTGCGAGCTGTTACATTTGTGTTGAAGGCCACTTCCCCAAACGTACATTATTCGAAGTGCAGCAGCAGACTAGTGAGCATCTTTCTTTCTGCAGCAGCTGGAGACCCAGGGTGGTGTTGAAAAGGAGGAGGCACTGTGAGCTGTCAGTTCAACACTTAAAAGCCTGGGAATTCCATTGCTAAGTGTTGCCCCACTTTGGTGCACCTAGACTTTCACCTTACCAGGTGGGCAATCGAACCCTGGCATTGTCGGCAGATTAGCCTGTATAAAGCCTAAGCTTGCCATTCCGGTACCTGCTCCACATCCTTTTGAAAGCTGATACTTACAAGGCAAGACAATGCCTATCAGACAGCCCTAAGTGTGCGCCTGTGGAAAAACTGACAACAAAAACTTTAAAAGTGAAATAGTCACGCAGTTTTCAGGAGCTGAAAAAAATTGGTGACCGGCAGTGATGGTAGCTCCAAGCTGATGGTGGAGGGAGAGCCGCTGGCAACAGTGAGGGCGAGATCATGAAGAGTGGCAGGAATTTTTGCCCCTCTTGCCAATTCCTTTAGCCCACAGTGAAATTGGACTCCTCAGTGCAGATGACACCACAGCTCACTGCAAGTCAAACAACCTCTAGAACAAGCTTCTTGCCCCAAAATGCCAACTCTTCAGGAAGTGGTCTGGGCTTGGGAGACGAGGCAGCGTACTGAAGCTGGTTACCTAGAATGAGTTGTCAGGTTATGCAAACCCAGTCTATATTGCTAGGAGCAGTGAAGTAGTAACTTGGATTTCCCCCCCACTCCCTTCTGTATTTTCCAAAGGCCCATTTGTGACATGTTTGTCTATTCGGGGTGCAACCAGCGAAAGCTTAGATGTAAAGTTTGAACGCTTTCTCCCTGAGGGAGCTGTGAGAGAGGAGGTAAAAGAGGTAAAAGAGGAAGCAAAAGAAGAGGAAGATGAAGAGGAAGATGAGAAAGCAAAAGAAGAAGAGGACGATGACAATGATGACCAAGGAGAAATGAAAACATCCAGATAACTTCAGGATTGCACACATGTTTTTATTGCTCCTTCTGTACAAAAAATGTACAGGTGAAAATTTGTGACTGCTTACATGGATTAGTAATGTAGGACTTAAAACTGTGGAGAACTCACAACCCCTTCCCATCAGGGCTTTTTGAAGTTGAGCAAGCAATTGATAAAACATTTGAACAATGTTTTCATTTACTGTCCAGTCTTGAAAGAGAGATGTTTGTGGTATTAATTGACCACGAAAAATGCTTTGCATTCATAACTGGTTCCCTGGATATCGTGCAGCTATTAATTACAAATGAGAAATCTACGTTCAGTCTGCATGTGTGTATCTTGGAAGGACTTCACATTCCTGTGAAAAATGGAGTGGAGATGCTTCTGCCTCCCTCTTGATATCTCTGTTCATTTGCTTAATTAACATTGGAAGTAGTTGCATTCCAAAATCATTGTTTTCAAAGGTACAGCATTGTGTGATGCAGCATTAACTGCTTCTGCAGTGGCATATCTGGAGTCTTTTTTGTTGGTTTTAAATTAAGCACATCATCAAATTACCATTGATTATATTGCATGCAGTAGCTAATTCTACCCATGGATTGTTTTAGGGTTGTGGGAGGGGGGTGGTTAACCACAACAGTAACCCATTTCACATGCCATAAGCTTCAGCACAGCCTGCCACAACTTGCCTCTAAAAATGTCTGCTGGCTGTAGTGGCTTGTTCTGATGTCTGAACCAGGCCTGTATTGTCTAAGAATTCCCCCACCACCCAAGGCATCGCAGCACAGGATGTTGCTGGTCTCAGATTCTGTGTGATCTTGGAGGTGGAAATCTTTAAATTCAGCAGTATCAAGGGCCTTCAGTAACTTTGGGTCTCATTCAATCCACACATGGGGTGGCTTTGAACAAGGTGTTGTTTCTTGGTCTTGGTTTCACACCTGCAACATGGAATTGAGGATGGATACATTCAGAATGAAGGGTAGTGCTGGCTTCTCTGCATTCCAGTTCCTTGGAAGGACTGGTCCCAGCAGATGGAAAGTTTGCAATGGGCAGGCAGGGAATATATAGTCTAAAAAGGAAGCCAAAGACAAGTTTGTGTGATTCAGGGCATGGCAGGATACAGTGGGATATACAGGCTAGCGTTAGCGAAATGAAGAGATGGAAGAAGTCAGGAAAAAACTATTTTGAAGGATCTTTTTCCCTTCCCAAAAGTTTGAATAATTTTCGATTATTAAATGGTCTGTTTTAGAGTTATGTTTTCAATGTTTAAGGGAAGGTGTTCATATATTACTACTAAGGCTTTTCTTAAAAAATTCTGAAAACTATGCACTGGAAAGACTTCTGTAGGAAAACTAGAGATGTTAAATTCCTGGAAATTTTGGAGGAGGGGTCCTCCCTGTAAGATTTCTAGCAAAGTTATTTTGGATACCTTATTAAAATTATTCATCTAATGTACCTCTTACTGATAGGCATTTAAGGGATGTTACAGGATGTGATTGGTTGTCAGCATGTGGTTACAGCTACCATAGAATACGTGAAGGAAATGCATTCTTGCCTGTTGGGATTTTGTTATGCAGAGTCCTGCATTTCGGGCTTGTTCTGGTTAGAAGTTGTAGCAGTCCATGAATGTGGCTCCCAAATGGACATACGAGAGATACATTGTAGGTCATTGTTCTTCACTATTTTTCTACTTGGCTGGAGGCATTCTTGGGCTTCTCAAACCCTTCCTGCTCCATGTCAGCCTAACAAGGCCTCAGGCATCCACCAAGTCCCCAGGCAGGCAAATTTCACTTGGAACTTCTTTCCATCATTGCAAGAGTGTTCAGCTCACCTTCGTACTGCAGAATCCCCCAGTGCAGAGCCATGTTTATCGGAAAGCGTATTTAAGCGAACAGCATCATGATGGCCAAAAAGCCAACCGAACAGCTCTGGGATAAAGTTTTGTGGTAAGTATCACCCGGATGCTCCACAACACTGGGCTTTATGTAAGGGTGGCGGGAAGGAAACTTGTTGCCGAAACAAACCCATATCAAAGCCTGTTCGGCATGAAAGAGATGGAGGGAGGAAAACATTCTTTGGCCCAGTGAGAATAAAACGACTGCATTTGTCACAAAGCCAGCGGTGCTTATTATGCAAGAACAGCATCCTGTGCGAGGATGCTTTTCCCTGGCAGGGACTAGGAAACTGGTTGCGAAGGGGGGCGGGGGAAGTAGGAAGCTCGGTCAGCAGTTGGGGCCAGGGCTCTCAGGCAAACTTGGGGCCTTCTGGAGAGGCCAGAGGTAGCCTGTCCAGCTGGCCCTGTGCTTACGAACCATCTTAAAGCAAAGACTTTTCCTTTCCTGTTCATACAGCATAGTCACTTCTGAATCACCAAAATAGAGGAGATGCATTACCAAAAAGAGGGGGCAGAAGGAACCATTGATTTGCATATGTTTAGAAGCTGAAGGGTGACACAGTGCCTCTCGTCATGGCATGGAAGACTGCAAGCCGACTGCCTGTTCCGTCCACCGCTCGAGTGCGAACTGTTGCTAGGTCACAGGTCTGGTGGTCCTCTATCATTAAACCAGAATTCGAGAGGACAATTCTCTAGCATCTCTCCAAAGAGAGAACTACCCTCTGTAAAGAAAGACTATATGGCTACCCTAGAAATGGAGTTGGGTTGGTTCTTTTGGACTGCCTGGCTCAGAAGCACTGACATGGAATGCTTGGGCTTCCTTTCCTGCCACCAGCAGCCAAGGAAGAAGGAACTGGCATCTGCTGAATCAATTAAAAGTCCATCACACCTGAAACATGCTACATGCTTTTTTTTTTGGCAATGGGGTCTCTTGCAGGACCCCCAAATTCAGTCTGTTACTATGTGTTTCAGCTGTACTATGATTCTGAGTGTCTGAACACCTACAACACCTGAATTTTGACCTTTGTGCACTGAAAGAGCCGCATAACCAATGATCTTATTTGCCCAACACACTGTTTGAATTTTTTAGGCAAGGTTTTGGTCAATGTTTGCAAGTTTTAGCTTTCATTTGCAATTGCAGCACCGGCAACAAAATATTTCTTCAGAGCCTTTGTTGATATTTTCTCAATATTCGGAATGGAATGAACTGTGATCGTTCTGCTGTAGACCCTGGCATGACAGATGAACAGTCCTTGGTAGATGAACAGCAATGATGAAATGCTTGCTTTCTACCTAGACATTCTTTTTGGTGGGCTGAATCAGAGATATAAATTGGTGCAAGATTTTTATTTTAAATGGTAACTTGACATTCCATTAAAGGAAGAGAGATTGTGTGGATGTGCCCAAAATGTCTGCGTTGACAACAATTTAGATGTGAAAAATGATCACTGCTGACGTTATTTCGGGAATAGCAAATCGTGTGCAGTTTTGCATGTGGACACATTTCCTTGAATGGCCAGTGCCATTAAATTTTCCGAGCCTTGCAACATTGGTTGTTTTTCAAATGTGATCGCAGAAGTATATTTCCTGGTCAGCAGCAGCAGGGGAGCTCCAGAGAGCTGGGATGTGATGCACATGAATTGGATTTCCTTTCGCTTCTGCAGAAGTGCAACAAGATAGAAGTAGATAACCCAGAGACGTGAAGGGAGTTGTTTGGGGAAGTAAAAACTGCTCCGCAGCTGACCAATGCAGGCCGTGAAGTGCCCCATTGTGGTGCAGTGTTCAGTTTTGAAGTGTGAGCATCTGCTGTGACATGTCCTGGACCCTTGCTCCCAAGAAGAGTCCAAACATAAAGGCTGGTCTAGCTACTTCCAGCCATTTTCATCACCTGGAGCGGTCTTTGTAAAGGTAATGGGTCTTCATTTCCCATTCAAGAGCAAGGTGTTATGACAAGGGATAAAGGTAAAAGTTTCCCCTTGACGTTATGTCCAGTCATGCCTGACTCTAGGGAGTGGTGCTCATCTCCGTTTCCTAGCCGAGGGAGCCAGCGTTTGTCCGCAGACAGTCTCCGTGTCCATGCGGCCGGCATGACTAAGCACCGAGGTACAAGGAATGCTGTTACCTGCCCACCGAAGTGGTACCTTTTTATCTACGTGCATTTGCATGCTTTCGAACTGCAAGGTTGGCAGGAGCTGGGACGGAGCAATGGGAACTCACCCCACTGTGCAGATTCGAACCGGTGACCTTTTGATCAACCAGCACAGCGGTTTAAACCACTGCGCCACCTGCAGTCCCTGTATGACAAGGGATAGCTTGCACAACATTGGCCTGATTTGCACAGTCACTGCTACACAAGGTGGGTTGTGTGTGCTGGTGACCATTTTAAATATTCAGCCCCTGGTGGTTGGCCGAACCATGGCAGGTTGGTGCAGGGAGAAGCATTATTACCCATTATTTCAACCTATAGGCTAGAAAAAATCCTGAGCTTGATTTTATATGATATGTTGTGTTATCTTGTATTTTGGGTTGCAATTTGTGGAAACTTTCTGGAGAGCATGGACTATTGACAAGCACAGAAATGAAATAAATACCCAGAGATAAGCTCTGTGCCTTTAGTTTGTTGCATTAAACACTGTTGCCACCAGATGGCAACCATCCCCCGTGTAGTATAACCACCTTTCCAGCCTCTAAGAAGTCACAACACATTCAACCAGTGTGGCTGTGAAACATCCCCTGGGATGGGTTCAAGATGGTCAGGACCCACACCGGGAATCCGTGGCTTCCTCCAGGGTTCGCTTGACATTCTGTGGCTTAGCATGTTGTCTGAGCCCAGATGACATGCTGGGCCGCAGTGAGACTGAAAAGCCACAGCCGTCTGCAGCTGATAGCAGGTTTGTTGCCCTGCGCTCTGTTGGTGCAGCCCAAGGAGGGGAAATCCGGGTGCAAGGGGTGGGAGCCAGCTGCTCTGTGCTCGGCTTTCTCTTGAGGAACCTGCATGCCAAGGCAGGGTGCTGAGGGCGGGGGACTTGGGGCACAAGGCATTCTGCTGGCCCTCCTCTTGGGGAGCCCCATCCAAACATGCCTCTCCTTCCTTTCTGCAGGTGCAATGGTGCAATAGGAAGCGTGCTCAGCTGGGGGTTCCCAAGAGGGGGCCCGGCTGAAGGCAGCCCCCACCTACTGTGCCAGCTGCCCTGTCCGGCGATCACTCAGGCAGGCAGAGGGGGGAGAGGGCACGATCCTCTCTCCTCTCAGCCCCATTCCTGGGCATGGTTGCCCCCCAGCTGAGCAGGGGCCATCTGCAGCAAGGGGACAGGAGAGCCCCTGCTTTGCGCCCAGCTCTTTCTCTTGAGGCGGTCCAGCATGAAGCAGCTAACCCCTGCTGCCACTGGGGTACCTCTGGCCGCTGCCGGAAGTGCTCTGGGGGCACCTTGGAGCAGCTGTCATCTCCCCTCTTCTCAGGGCTCTGGAGTATCCCCTGGGATATTGGCAGGGAAACGCGGGGAGGAGCTGGATCATAAACACCCCCCATGTTTGAGTTGGGCAAGCTAGAGCCCCTAGGCAAAGAAGTGGCTTATAAGTGTGGACCAAATCTGCCCTCGAGGAGAGGCAGTGTGGTGCAGTGGTTAAGACTGTGGAACTGGGATTCAGACAATCTGGGTTCAAGTCCCCTCTCAGCCATGGAGCTCATTGGGTGACTTTGGGCCAGTCACAGATTCTCAGCCCAGCCTACCCCACAGGGTTGTTGTTGTGGGGATAAGATTGAGATCAGGAGTAGGAGAATGATGTGGGCCGCCTTGCATTCTTTGTAAGAAAAAAAAGGCGGGATATAAATGTGAATGAATGGGGTGGTGGTAGCCGGCTCCATGCATACGGACCAATTCACAAGACCCCTGCCTGGCTAGTATTAGACAGTGGAATGGCCACAGAGCTACACCCTGAGAGCCTCAGGATTCATTTCTAGCGATGCAAGTTGAAACACACACACCATTGGTATTTGTAAGCATGTTACATTGGTTTTCCTCTGCAAGTCGTGATCTCTTATCTGTTTTCACTCAGATCACCTAGCACTTGTGATGCATCCATTCACAAAACACTCTGGTTCCCACTCTGATTCCCACAGTACAAGCCACAGTAGTTCACACCCTTAGGATCCACTACTTCAGCTGTGCTGATTAAAGCACACCCTCTCCCTGCGACTTGGCCCCCAGAAACATGGACAACCTGTTTTGAGATAACTCTTTTTCTTTCTTTACAATGTCTTTCTTTACAATTAAAATGCACCTGCACTGTGCCTTGACTTGACCTGCAGTTCACCCCACGGTTCTCAATATCGGGGTTTGCTCTATCCGTAGGAAAGGGGTCCCACCCATCCGCATTTGTCAAATGTTCTGCAGTCCTGCAGTTATGCCTGTCCAAGCTACCACACATTTGGGATGTCAAATCTATTAATACGACTTTTTAAAAAGAGCGAATCGGATTACAACAGCTAAGGTCATGCATCGTCTTTGAAATTAAAACTGTGTGCATTTGTTCTGAGCTAGTCATCAAACAGGAAAATTTTACGTAGCAGATGTAGAATGTCTGTTTATTTTTAATTAGTTGATAGGAATGTATGTAAATATATCGTACTCTTCTTAAATCATTTCCTGCCTGAAAACTAACTGTAGCTTTTAAATTATTTTTAAGAGAGATTGAATGAGTGCCATATCTCTGTTGAAGCCAAACATGTTATGGGGAGGTTGGGACAGAAAAGCTGTGCTACTTAAAGCAACAAAGAACATGGATTAAAATCCATTGCTGGTTTCTCGTTCCAGATACCATGTTTCAATGAATCAATCTACGTTTGGCTTTCCTTGCCTGACTTGAACATAACTTGTATGCTTTGTGATTACGGCAAAATGCTAAAGCAGCGGTCCTGAGAGCCGCGCACAGTTTGGCGATTCTGATCCAAATGTCTCTTTCCTTACATAGAAGTCATGGGAAGAGAGGAGCCATGAATCAGGCCCATTGGGGCAACTGGTGGGGGGGAGACTGGGCCCTGTTGGCAAGACACTGGTAGCAGGAGAAATCACTGGCAGGGAATCAGGGCGACCAACAGGGGGCGCAGTTAAGACTGGAGGAGCTAGTTGCCTGATTCCAAAATGCTAACCAAGTAAAATTAGGTTGCCTGATGCTTTTCCATCAAGAAGTGATACTATTAGGGCTGGAAGCTGGGTAACACCAAGTCAGACAATGTTTCCAATGGCAATGTTTTCAGTTTCCACTGAGCCCCGTAATATCTAGTGTCTGCAAGGGTAAACATCTCAGTTTCGGGTAAATGCTGATAGGATCTGAGCTAGCAGGGAGTGAGCAAGGAAGGGAGCTTGGGGTAGCGGTAGACGGCTGGATCAAAATGTCAGCCCAGTGCGCAGATGCTGTGAAGAAGGCAAACTCCATGCTAGGCCTGATTAGGAAAGGAGAAGAAAATAGAACTGCCAAAATCTTACTTCCACTGTACAAATCTTTGCTGCAATCACACTTGGAATATTGCGTTCAGTTCTGGTCGCCTTACCAGAAAGAGGACATTGTTGAGTTGGAAAAGGTGCAGAGAAGGACAGCAAAGATGATCCTCTAGGCCAGGGGTGGGCAATTAATTTTCCTATGGGGCCACATGAGAAACTTTGACAGTTGTTAAGGGCCGGACCAATACACTTACAGCTCTGCTCAACATATATCTCTATAAAAACAGTAAATGAAACATTACAATGATACAATGAAAATGTGGAGCACAGAACAACACTATTTAATGAATATTCACAAAAACATTAACATTACATGAAAAGCAATAAATTCAATTCAATTTAGCAGACCCTTCAAAATAAAAGCAGTGCAGTTGTATTGCTTGCATCTCTATTA